GCTGCTAGCTATAGTGGGACCTGCAGGTCTACGGGTGACCAATGTCATACCATTTCGACGTCTTTTGATCGTCGTGTTTTATACTAGTCAATTAAGTATGGTTATAACATCATCACATTTTACCTTAATTAAGCATATTGGTTTTAAGGTAGTTAGTACATCTGTAGTTACTTTATACAATACTATTGTACATCTTCATTTTCCCATTTCATTCATATAGTGATCTTCTCACATAAAAGGTAATGTAAACTATTTTCTGGTAATGATAGTCATATCCTTGGGAAAACATTCATTTTTACAAAAGAACAAACATACAAAACAGTCGGGTTATGGTAGAAGGCTACTTTCCATTTTAGTAGAAAATATATGATTTTCTAGGAGGTATACAAACATTTACATCAAACACATACAAACATTTACATCAAACACTTACAAACATTTTCATCAAACTAATGCAAACAATTGACACAAAATTACTTATGAACTCACCAGCTTAAATGTTGATCTACTCTTTCAAAATAACTTGTATTCTCAGGTCACCAGTAGACAGGTACCGATGACCAGGTTTTGAGAAGACGGAGCATGTTCAAGACTCGTCTTTTATTTTGATTCATATTTTGGTGTCTTTCAAACTTTACACAAAACACACTTGTATTAAATTATATTATTAATGCAATGGATGATGTTGTTGCTTGTTTTACTATTGTGCATTGTTATGATACTGTACATGACGTCCTCCGCCTCCGAATGTTTCCGCCATTCTGGTTTGGGGGTGTGACAGATTGGTATCAGAGCTTTGTTTATAGTGAATTGAGTATATCAACCCATAAAAGATATACAACTATAAACACATCGGGATTAAAAACACTCTGACCAAGAATTGATACTTTTAAAATAATAAAATATTTTAGTAAAGTATTCATACAAGCATTCATACTAGGATCAGTGTTATACTAGAACAGAACAAAAGTATTGCGGTTGTTGGACATCACAAGTAGGCTTGGGGACATATAATCAGATCTGGGAGTGATATAGCCTGATCAACTATATCTTTCCGAGAAGTGATTAGCATGTGCCTAGGAATGGTTGTGGTGTTGCAGCAAGTCTAAAAACTTACCAACACTACTATAATGAAAACTTTAGAACATAACATAAACTTAAAATACTATAGGATAATTGTGTGTTACTATAATTACTTATGTGCAAACTAAAATGTCTTTACTAGTATGTCAATAGTTGCTGAGTGGATACGCTTAGGTTATATGTGACTAAGGTGTCATAGACTTAGAATCTGTGATCTTTGCTTTACTTCCCGTTCCTTGTTTGGTTGTGGACTTAGAGTTAGGGTCACTTATTCGAAGGTCTACTTTATTTTGGTTACATATGACTGGTATGCACTACGCAAGTATTGGAGTAACTAGTAAGGATTATCCTATAATTATCTTAAGTAATACGTCTATAATATGTTTCTTACACCCCTTTCTCGCTTAGATAACATGGCTGGATTTCATATCCCTGGCGACCCGTACTTTCCTGATCAAGGGCATGGTGGATGGCTTGATGCAGAGCCCAAAGAAGAAAACCCGGTGGTCCCAGCAGAAGAAGACCCCGAGGAGAATTCTGATGAAGAGAACGAGGAAGATTTCCAAGAAGACTCGGACTTAGACCCTGAGGTCTATAATCCACCCCAAGTTGTTGAAAATCCTAACCCTCGTTCGACTTTTCAAGGCCCGACGCTTCTATAGGCGGTGAACTTGGGCAGGTGGAGCCACGAACAGGGACAACCACTTCCCTACAACGAAGATCGGAGTTACTATAACTTGAACGAGGGAGGCTCAGCAGACAAAATCCTTCCTATCTTGGTGCAACGCGTTGCTCGCAATGTTGAGCAGGGAAGAGCAAACTTCGACCAAGTCATGGAGATCCGTGCAAACTCCGGAGTCAACACAGTTCGTCTACGTCATCTGACCGATGACCAGAACTTAGAAAGGACTTGCACTGATGCCTTACAGGTAGAGCTTAATGCCTGCCAATCTGAAGTTAGGGATCTTCGTCAGAACCAAGTGGTTCTGCAAAGGCGTGTATGGGAAACGAAACAGCAGTTGGCTGAATCTAGGGCTGGGTCAAGTACCAACCAAAACAACTCCCCTCGCGAGTAGAGCCTACTCTACTCTGTCTTTTGGATATAGCTTAGGTCTATGTATAGACTCTAGTATAAATTTCCTGTTTATGTTAAGACCTTGAACTTTCAGTCTGTTAGGTCTTTGTGCTGTCAAAATTTTCTAAATTTTGGTGTGATGTAAGACCTACTCCAAGGTCATTTTTCCCGAACTTATTACATCTTTAAATACCAGTGATATTGACAGACATCTAATATCAAGGGAAATCTTTATCCAAATGATATTATACAGATCCGCAAGCAAGATGGGCGAAGACCCATAATCCCACGACGGCTTGGGGCCAAATTTAGATCCGTTAGTATTTGTTTATATTATGCTGTCAAAACAGTAAAACTAATTGTAGGATACAACCTCGCTTTGAGCCACAACTAAGTTGAAAATTAAACAAGAAGCTCCTAGAATTCAAACCTAACATGTTTAACTTTAAGATAACCAACAATTAAAAATATACATTGTTACCGTTAAGAAATGAAAAATATTAATATATTTACCATTAAACATGAAAAACAAGTTGGGGCTAGCCATTTGGCTAACATGGAGGTTTAAACTAACAACTAACTAGGAGGTATTGGGTTCAATCCTAAGAAGATGAGAAAAATATATAATTATTTGCCGTTTAAAAACAAATTAAAACGTGAAAAATATTAAAATATTGATTTTCAAGCTGGGGATGCGTTCTAACTTCTAACACAAGAAAATTAAATAACGTTTATTGACTTTCAAACACTATTCTTTCTAGCACAAAATATTAAAGACCAAATAGGTGGCACTCCTGTAATTAAGGCTAGTGACATATTCATTAATATCTCCAACTCAAAAAGAAGGTTGTCCACATTTTTGTAGCTGTCACACACGACACTATTATTTTGTAGACAACAAGTCACACAAGTTAAATTATATTCTAATCAACGTCACATCCTCGAGTTTTAGATAATCTTTAAGGTAACATACAATTCAATAAAAATACTTAATTTTTAAAGTTAATTTTTTATCTAACAGGAATCCGTTATATTTTAATATAGAGGTATATATAAAATAAAGATAAAGAATCCCGATCTATCAGGAATTGAGATCCCCCAAATATAAGAGATAATTACATATAAAATATTTTTTTGTCTAATAAGGATAAACTTCTAATACATCCCATAATTTAAACAAGAGGTGGTTGACCGCTCAAATTCAATCTAAATTCTAGGAATAACAGACATGGTAGACATTTGGGCTTTGATGAGGATGTCACCACTCACCATATTGGTAGAAGGAAGCAAAATGTGGAGCACACGAACTTGATCAATAGCAATTTTTTTGGGAGCAAAATAGATGTTCAGTTCAATATTTTTTCTTAATTGGTGTTGAAGAGGGTTACTCGACACATGATAGATAAACATATATACCCATTGTCACAATAAACGAAGGTGGCCTAATCATGGAGAGCCATAGAGGGCTTCAACATCGGTTAGTTATTAACCCAACAAGTTTCCCCTAATGACGTTTGTGACTCCATGATATTCCGCCTTATTTCAGTATGGAGGTATATTATAGGACACTGATAAAGATTCTTGATCTAACATGAGATGAGACCTATCGAATATAGAGAGAGAATTACATATAATTATGATTTTTGTCTAATAAGAATAATGTACTTTTAATACTTTTTAACACAACAAAACTAAGACGAAAGATTAACAATCAATCTCATTCATTAATATATTGTAATAAATTTGCTAAGAGACAAATTAATTAATTCAACATCCAATTAAAGTTCCTAATGAAGAAAACATTATTATTTATTCGGGACAAGTGTAACATAAACAAATTAATTTGATATTTATAAGTATCATTTATTTTAGAGTTATCTGATCATGAATATGGAGGAATAATGAGATATTCTTGGCCGTTTCCACCATGTTCTATATAATATTATGTCACATCTTTATGTGTTGATATGTGTGTTGTGTGCGTTATACATACTTATGATGTCCATTCAAGGTTCGAAAAGCCATATTAAAGAAAATTGCAGTTACTTTGACGAGTGCCATATATTATAAATACTAAATAATACACGAAGCTTGCTTGTGTACATTCACATATATCTAGAGAGAGATATTTATAGGGACTAGGGAGAGATTGAGGACTTAAGTGAAATTAAGATGATGATGATGTAGAAACAAGATCAGGATGGTGATCATGATGCTGCTTCTGCTGATGATATAGAAAGATATAATGAAGATGATGATGATGTAGAAAGAAGAAGATGATGATGATGATGATTAAGAAAATGGAAATGTGTATGCAATTGGTGAAGCTGGCTTATGAGTTTCTGATGGCTGTCGTTGAAGCAGTGGACTATGTTATTCATCATACAAACCCATCGCAACCTGCAATTAGTTATTCTAACCCTTATCCCAACATCTACCTTGGCCTTCTTCCCTAGCTACTCTCCACCCTCTTCATCCATGCATATTAACTTCATGCCATTTTTTCGTTAACTCTGCGAGAGACGTATGGATATAGTTTTCGTACATAATGGCATTTCTTGTTTCATTCATTCACTTTCTGTCCATTAATATTTACAAGTACTTAATAAAAGTTTGCTTTTCTTTTAAAAATCGGATATTTTCTTTCGAGATTTATGTTCTAATTAAATTGGTCCCATGCCATTCCTTAAAATTAAATTCATCGGGTTCAAAACTTTATAATGATTAATTAGAAAGCTTTAAACCTTAATAAGTACCTAACTAAAAAAGTTATACTAAATAACATATATTCATCGATCCAATAAAAAAATTAAAGATATTTTATTCTGTTCCATAACTTATTTTTCTTATACATGAAAACGTCACATAGTATCTTTTTACTTATACAACAACATTCTCAATAAGAGAAACAATATTATCCTCTAATTCGGGTTTCTTAAAATGATAAATCTGTATATTTTCAACATCCAGTTTCTTAAAATTACTACGTTTTCTGGTGACAAAGAACTTGCCCCAGTTATAACTCTTATACTTTGCAGGGTTTCTTTCATCCGTCAGCTCAGCAAGCGGCGCCACCACCGTGTAATGTGCAGGATTCAAGAAAAATGGGATCGAAAATCTTTCTCTACCCGAGTTCACCTTCACCCTATGCTCTACACTCTCATACATATCATTGCTCCATACCTATACAACAATAACAACAACAAATCTTAAATAAGAAGAACTCAGATCAGATCGATATATACAGATCGGAGATATGTTGTTAATGATACCTGAATAATGTCCCCGACGTTGATGATGAAGGAATTTGGTGTTGGCTTAACAAAGATCCACTCTCCATCGGTTTTTCTCTTAACTTCTAAACCTCCGACTTCGTCTTGAGCCAAGATCGTCAAAGCACCGGCGTCCTTGTGTCGACCAACACCAAGGGCGAGGTCAGGAGCTGGGCACGGCGGGTAGTGGTTCAGTCGAACAAAACTGGTTTGATCCTTGGAGAAGAAGGGCTCAAACCGGTTTGCAGGAAGGTTTAAGCTCATGGATATCAATTCCAACAGTCTGTACGACAATTTCTCAACTTCTTTTACATATTCTTCCGATGCCTCCCTGAGTTTTCCGAAAACTGGATTAGGATCATGGTTAATTAGTTATTATTTATTAAGTCAAAAATTAAGTACCTTAATTCTGGAGGATGGTCAGGCCATTGATTAGAGTACTCCGCCGTCTGTTCATCGTCGGATTCATATGACGCCGGCATCAACGTCGGAACCTCCACCGTGAAATCGAAAACTTCTTTCCAGTCCCTCACATTTTTTGTGTGTTCGGTATCGTAATAACCAAATGGGTTCCCTTCGCCTCTCTTCACCTTCTTCTTCTCCTCCAATGGCTGATCGAAAAACTTCTTGGCTGCCGACTGTAGCTTTTCACGGACGTCGACGGGAACCCCGTGGTTGATTACTTGAAAGAATCCCCAGTTTTTGCATGCGTCACGGACCTGAGATATCAGGTCGTCTATCGCGACGGCGGACGGAGACGAGTTTATGAAAGGCGAGAGGTCAATTTGTGGGATTCCTTCGGCTTTGATTACTGCAAGTTTAGGTCTGTGTTCAGGTTCTTGGATGAAAGATGGATCAACTTCTCCCATGGCTGAAGATTGATGAATTCAAGATCGGAAAAGTGATGAGTTTAAAAGGTGGTGGTGACTGGTGGAGTGAAAGAAGCCTATCTGAATTTTGCTATGTGGCAAGTGAGCTTGGTGCTATGTATTTGGACCCTTTTTTGGGTATGATACATGGTGATGATTTCATGATGTAAGTTTTGATTAATTTATCTATGGATATGTTCATTCTTACGTTTTGTTTTTGGTAATAAATTAAGTTATAAAAAAATTGGAAGAGAAAGGAAACAAAGGGAGCAAACATAAGAACAAATGACCTGTTATATTTTAAAAAGTAAATTATTGAAATGTTCCACTTGATTTGGTAGAAACCATGGTTCTAAAAAGCTCGTCTGTTATGGCGCGTCATGGCTCCAAGGCTTGTATGTGCTGCCAAGCTTTACCAAAACATCGTCTTGACTCATATATGTATATAAAAATGAATAATAATAGAAAATACATATAAAAATATGAATTATATACAAAATTGTCGCCTTAAGTCATGTCTTACAAACAACGTGACTCGTCAAGGCTCGGAAAAGCTTGAGGTTTGACATTGCCGCCAAGTCACGCCTTACGTTATTTAGAACCTTGGTAGAAACCGTGTGGTATGGCTGTTATCTATATTTTTTGTTTCAAACTGTGTGTTATTGAAAAGTAAATTATTTTTCACGTTTTTCGTGAGTGTGAGTAAAAATAAGTTTTTCATAATTATTTTCATATCCTTAAATTTTTTTAAATAATATGTATATCCATATAAAACTCATAAACTCGTGCATATACCTAAGTATTTAATTTAAACTAAAAATATTATTTTTAAATTAGATTATAACTAAGTTACTAAAATACATTTTTGCAATCCTTCACATAATCGATATCCTTATTCACGATATATGGTTATTCACGACTTGATAATGTTTTTGCTAATCGATTAGGAATATGCAATCATCAAGTTTTGTTAATCGAATTTGCAATCATCAGGTTTTACTTCGGTTTTGCTAATTAAATATGTAATCACCAAGTTTGCAATCATCAGGTTTTGCCGTTACAATCAATTAGGAAAATTTAATCATCGGTTTTGCTAATTGATTATACAGAATGTGAAACGACAAAGAATCAAGTCATTAACAATCATATCATGAATAATGAGATCTATTATAGGAAGGGTTGTGGATTGGTATTTTGATCTATTATAGGAAGGATTGTGGATTGGTATTTTAGTTTTTTAGTTTTAATATAACTTAAAGATTATGTTTTAAAATTTTAAATAGATTAAATTAAGTATTTAGGTATATATATATATATATATATATATATATATATATATATATATATATATATATATATATATATTCTCCTCTAATAAAAGAATCCTTAAGATGCCACATGTCAATTTTCTACATTTATATTTTGCCACATGGCACGTTTCTAAATCCTCACCAAATAATTTCCCGTCCATTCCTACATAATTATAAAAAAACGAATTTAAGTAATTATTGGTCATTCAAATTCATATTTCAAATGCAAAGAAACCAAAATGTTAGCCTAAATTTTCGTCAAATATCCTTAGATTCTAGGGTTTTATTTAGTATGATTTCACCTTCATCTATATCTCAGCCGCTCCCATGGCACCTTCCCTTATTTCTCATGATGCTTCTAGATCTTTCATTGATTTAATTGCTTTATTTAAATTTTATTAATCAAGAGTTTTGGGCAGATGAAGGTTTTTGTTGGAGATAGAACCACCATGTTCAGAGCTAGAGCTATTTCATTGGCGATACAAGTATGATGATCAACGTAGTTTTCCCTATCATGGTGCTTATGTTTCTTGTGTTGATTTTGGTATGTAGACTGTAAATAATCGAGATCTTTGAGCTATGAACGACTGAAACCTTAACCTCTGAAACCAATACCTGACATCTAACATTCCCATTCAAAGTCGGTACTTTATAGAACCCCATATAAGCATTATACTTTATATGTAGATTAGATCTTTGTTTTATGCATTTTCTTTTTTACACTTTATGTTTCTTGCTACCGCTTTCACTGGCATGGTGGATCTATTTTGATCAAATTTGGTTTTCTATGTTTCTTATTTGTTGAATCAGTTTAAATTATGCCAATTAGGGTTCTATCTGCTTAACTGTAATCACTTTCCCTAATCACAATTTAGTCGCATCTCTCTTCTTCTTTTTTCATCTACTTATACTCTTTGTCATGTGTTTTCTCTCAATCTGTTAGAGATTCAATTGTTGGTGGTGTTTGGCATTGCTGCTTGACAGCAAGTAACTTGAGGAATCTGGTGTACACAATTCAATGGTTATGTTGGATCTATATTGATCAAATTTGGTTTTTCTATGTGTGTTATTTGTTGAATCAGTTTAACTTATGCCAATTAGGGTTCTATGTGATTAACTGTAAGCACTTTCCCTAATCACTATTTAGTCACATCTCTCTTTTTCTTCTTTTTTTCATCTACTTATACTCTTTGTTGTGTGTTTTCTCTTAATCTGTTAGAGCTTAAATTGTTGGTGGTGTTTTGCATTGCTGCTTGACAGCAAGTAACTTGAGGAATCTGGTATACATAATATCAATGGTTATGTTACTTTGTCGACTAATAATTTTTTAATTCTCATAATTGCCAATTTAAACCAAGACCTGATCTCAAATCACTTAATATTTTCTTTTGATTCTACTTGTGACTTGTGAGGAAGGCTACATCTTTGTAATCTAAGAAAGGTATGTCTTTACAAAAACTCTTGAAATTAAGTTCTTATCATTGATGTTGTTTATGATTTATTTTATTATTTGATTTTTTGGATTTGGTAGTTAATTACATATGGAGAAAGTAAAGTGTTATCTCAAATAGATATTTGGGCAGGTATCATGTTTTCATTTTGTTGCATAAATGAGCTCATTTTTTCCTACGTTAAAAAATTCGAAGTTTGGTGATATAATTGGAGAGCATTATTTGTTTTGGATCGAAAGTAAGACAAATAGGAAACCTTGGATGTTTGGGCCAAATTATTCATTTTTAAGCGTAATATTGTACTTGATTTTAAAAGTATGATTTTTTTCTTAAAACAACTTGCACCACATTGATCATGTCCAAGTCTTTATCAACATCATCGAATTCAATGACTTCAAATGATAGAAGTTGATCAAGCAAATGCAAAAAATAATAAATAATAAAATAATAAATAATAAAAAAAATTGCAATTACAGTTAATAAGAGTCAAGGGCAGTCATTGTCGAAGGTTGGTTTGTTTTGCAAGGACCCTGTTTTTACATTTGACCAATTGTATGTTGCTTTATTATATAGTTCAAAGTAGAAAATGATTAAAATTGTTGATTTTATATAAAAATTGGTAGGCTAACAAATAAAACATGTAATATTGTGTATAAAGAAGATTTTAGAAATTTATAAATATTATGTACAATAGAGTCAGTATGCACATAAATCTCAGAGAATGTCATTTCCATTTATATTTTAAAGTATGTTCAAAATTTTAAGGTAATTTACAAAATCATAATTTTCTAATATATCTACAAGTATAAATTCTCGATCGGATATTCAAATCACTATGCTTTCGTAGTTTTAACCTATCATTATATCATCATGAACTATTATTATGAACTTACAGTCAAAACAACTATATTTATAAATTATTTAATTTTTTTTTATTGATCAATAATTACCTTAAAATTTTAATAAAATTATTTTTACTTTTCTCACCCGTAGTGTCCACGGGTTATAACCTAGTATATATATATGAGAGTTTATAGGTTTTATAAGGATATATACATATAATTTGAAGTTTTACAGTGATATAAGCATAATTATAAAAGTTGACAAGGATAAAGACGAAATTGTCTCAAATGTTATGGAAAACATTTAACACCTTATTGCAAATAAGTAACAAATGGAATCCATTTCTCCAAACAATAAACAAAAGATTTTACAAACAAATAATTTTATCCATGAAAGGGCACCAACAAATCTACCAAATTTTTGGGTCCATAAAGGTTGATATTTACATGAAAACAGACCATACATCTTTTATTTATATAACAATATTCTCAAGCCAAGAAACATTATCATCACCCTTTTAGCTCATCTGATTTTTTGAAATGATAAATTTGTATGTTTTCAACATCAAGTTTCTTAAAATTACTACGTTTTCGTGTAGCAAAGAATTTGCCCCAATTGTAACTATCATACTTGGCAGGGTTTTGTTCATCAGTCAACTCTACCAACGGCTCCACCACAGTGTAATATGAAGGGCACAAGAAAAATGGGATCGAAAACCTTTCTCTCGTCGAATTCACCATTACCCTATGCTCTACACTTTCATACTTGTCATTACTCCATACCTATACAACAAAAAATAATATAAATCTTTTAACTCAAACTACTTATAGTTACAGTCACGTATAAAAAGAACAAATACATAAGTAACTCGAACCTTTAAGATAGTAGATGATTATTTTGATTACCTGAATCATGTCCCCAACATTGATAATGAAGGTATTAGGTGTAGGCTTGACAAAGATCCACTCTCCATCGGTTTTTCGCTTAACTTCTAAACCTCCTACGTCATCTTGAGTCAATATAGTCAAAGCAATGGCATCCTTGTGTCGACCAACCCCAAGGGCTAGGTCGGGAGCAGGGCAAGGTGGATAGTGGTTAAGTCGAATGAAACTAGTTTGGCCCTTGGAGAAAAAAGGTTCAAATCGGTTTGCAGGAAGGTTCAAGCTAAGTGCAATAAGTTCCAACAATTTGTATGACAATTTCTGAACATCTTTAACGTATTCTTCACATGCCTCCCTATTTTTAAACAATTAAAATGAGTCGGTATCAATTATAAACAACATATATGTTTATATGTTCCTTGTTATAACACATTGTTATACACCTAATACCTTCATTATCAAACATAGACACAAAGTCTTAATTGGTAGTGTTCTTTGATTTACCCTCACATAATAATACGGATGTGATGGGGTCTATCAAGGATACATTTTACTGTTTTTTAATATTTATATTACTAACTATCTATCTTTTAACAATATATTTATTAAACATATAGTTGATCATTTGATTGTACTCATATGATCGTATTA